TTACTGTCTATCTCGTTATACTGCTCATCAGCAACCTGCTGTTTCTCAGTGTGGTTCCACTAACGGAGCTGCTGAATCAGCTGTACGGCGGTTGGTGGATGGGACGGGCCGTGTGCAACATCCACAACTACACCAGCGCCATCGGATCCGGATCCCAAATCTGCATCCACGTCTGCATCTCCATCAGCCGACTGTGGGCGGTGCATTTCCCGATTTCTTATAGAACTAACCATACTAGAAAGGCGGCACTCCTGATGTGCTTAACGGCAGTGGTGGTCTTGCATGTGATTGACCGACCGGGCTGGGCTGCCTTATGGACATCCTGTATTACGCTATTGATGTGAAGTTAGCAGGGTGTCACATTAACTATCTGGCGTAAGTGTTGTGGGGAAAATTTGAAAACGCTCTACTGCATGTTGTCCCGTTGGTGTTGATCCTCGTAGTGTACGCACATTTGTACGTGAATCGCGTTCGTCGGAGACGGAAGATCCGCGAGAACGGTCACCAAAAACCCCAGCGCCGGTACTTCGCTGGAGGAAGCGGTGCGGCCGTTCCTGGTGCTGTCGTTGACGGCCGTCAGTGTGACAGTGTGCTGGACGCCGGCGGTGGTGTACTTTGCCTTTATCAAGTTCACCGGACTGTGGATGCCCGAGTGGTTCTTCATTGTGGCGGTATCAATGTACTCGATGCAGGGGCTTATCGATCCGTGGCTGTTTGCAGTCGGGTTATGGGCTGCTCAGAGAAAACGGCGCCGCTAGCTATAAAATAGGGAATTTTAGATTTCACATGGTTTAGGCTCCGTTCACTAGAAACTACCGCGTCAGATAAACAGTACGTTAGCAAACTTAACAGCGTTTAAAATGCTTGTACGGATGCACACTTGCAGTGACGTACAGCTGAAAAATAAATCGGATCGAGAGTGCCGAGAGCGTGACCAACCTGCTCTCGGGGAGGCGGTTAGAGCATACAAAAAAGATCCACAGGCAGCATACGCTGGCTTGTCGCTCTAACATATGGCTGAGCCGTTGCACAGATCCACGTAAGGCAGACAGTTTTTACGCGTCAGCCAACGACGTTGGCTTACGGCGCCTTACGTCGCGAACGGACGTAAATCAACCCGTAACGCCAACTTCTACCCGAACGTCGAACTGGACGTAACTTGTTTTGTGAAATCTAAAATTCGCTAATAATATTATCTTACGTCTGTGCGTGTAATTCGATGTTGTAGCATGATGTATTCGTAATTTCTTAGAATTCAACTGCTCGATAAAGTAGAATGTGATGGGCCGTTAAAGAATTCCTTGTGTAACAGTATAGGCGATGCAAACATTCAAATGAACGATACCGAACGGTGGCAGGAAACCTATCGACCGGTATAACTCGGTTTAGCAATTAAATTTAAAGTGATACTGTATCACAGTCAGTAAACAGCTAAAGCTAGTCGAGACAGTGCACGCTTGCTGCCTCTGCACCTATGGATCAAGGCTCCGTTGTTCGAAAGCCATATAATCCGCTAGAACACCGGCAGACTGCAGGCCTGAAAGAGTGAATGCGTTTCGAACAAAAGATGTACTGATAGAAAGTTTGATTAAGTAAGCGTTGCAGATGGGTTGTGTCCAGGATTTTGGCAGTTGCATAATGTACAGCAAGTGAGCATTATTTAGTAGCAAAACATTGTTGATATCCATCACGAATTGCATGTGATTTTTGTGCGTGCTGCATGTACAGCAATTTACTTTACAATCTTCGTAGTAATATGAAAGTCCGTTTTACTAATATCAATTTGGACCACAATACGGCTCGATACACTATTGTTTATTTCGCAATGGAAATACGCGCGTTTGATGGTGCACCTTTTTAATTTTTTTATGCGTTTATTTCTGGCTAGGTTTTACGAGGGAGTGATAGTATCGAATTTTTTAAAAAACTTCATGTGTACAGTAATGTACTCATACGAAAAGTATGGAAATAAACGCGTGTACAATATTATTGCCCTTTAACATTTGTTAATAATGCGGTTGTTAATAATGTTAATAATGCGGTATATTTGTATTGCGGTTTTGAGGATAGCAAACAATTATAATGCTTTTGCAAGTTTTTCCGTGGGCGTAGCCTTTCAGGCTACGCCCATTTCTGCCGGCCTCCATAGACTTCTGTTTGCACAGTGTTCCAGCCTATTCGGCTTTTTGCCGAGTGTCTCAGCCCTGGTGATACTATCCATTTGTTATTACTGTACTTGCCGATATCAGATATGCATCGCACGCAAACGTTTTTCTCTATTTAATTATTGGAACTTAATCGTTGAAATTTCGTGCATAATTTTTTCGTAAAAGTGTTTCATGTTCGGCAATAAGTGCATGCAATAACACGTCCAACTCTAAAAATGCAGCAAAACTAGTACTGCCACTGCCTGCTGTGGCGCTTAGATTTATGCGAAACATGTTACGTATATACAGTATATAGATATTAACAAAGATTTAGAGTGATATCGTCTTTAATTAATTACTACCTTTATGCAGCATTCGAGGAACATGACTTTCCTGGGCACTTGAAAAAAATCGACATACAGTACAAAATGAATATCGTATAACGGGCAAATAAGTACGTGCTGTACAGTGTGCTTTTTTTCAATAGCCGAGGAATTTTATTGGTTGAGTCATTAGCCAGTAATTTACTCATCACTTACAAAAAACATTATAACACAAAGTAAACAGCATTAAAACCATCAGAACGTGGAACAGCGGACGTCACAGACTCACAGACAGCGCATTCCAGCGCTGTATTTCAATGCTAAGACGCTGCATCAAAAACTCGTATGATCGTTTTTCTCCAGAAGCGTTCTTTAAGCGTTTCCTAGCTCACGTAAAAATTTCATACAAGCTTGCCGCCGACGCCAAAAGTCTCGAAAGCTAACGGGACGAAGTCGTACTCCGGCGCCAGATATTCGTATTTTCGGCACTTTTTTTCTTCCGCTTTCTTGGCAGTTTCTCCGGCTTTAATGCTGCTGCTGATGACGTTAGACAAAGCCACTGTGTCAACACATGTCACAGTGTGCTTGTTTGACGGCCTGGCAACAAAAGTTCAATGTCCGAATAAACGTTTAATTAATTCCGTAATATTAGTCTGCTATGTAAGAGCTTCCTGGCCGCATAATATGATGAACCCAGAAGTGACATGCTGTACAATGGACTTCAAGTACCGGCACAGGAAACAGCCTGCTGCGCAGCTGACCAACTCATTTTTAAGTCCATCTCTTTGTACATATTACACTCATCAACAATTTTCAGCAATCTTTTCTATCAGCCGTGAGATGAGGAAATGCATGTACATGCTTTTTGACAGATGACACAACGCTATAACCGCATTATGTTATTATGGACTGTACATACGAGTACACAATTACGAGTACAAACCGGGTGATTAATTTCTGGCGTAAAGGTACAGGTACAGGTACACAATGGCGACACTTAGAAAGCAGTCGCTACATTACAATTATCGCAATAAGAAAGCTATTTCCACAATGAATTATTATGTCAAAAAATTCGATTGTTAAATTCTTCGGTTTTACGATAAATACGCTCATGCGGTAAATATTGGACGTGCATCGGCAAAAATTTTTGCTACTTCGCTTTTACTCGCATTCCGACCGCTTACAGATTACAGTTCAATTAAAAAATAAATACTCGTACATATGCAGGGTGAGCGATACTTTGCTTTTAACTTTATATCAACTTCCAGGCCGAATTTCCACATTTTCTCAACGTTCCGACCATCGGTCTGCATTAGTAAACCCCCCCCCCAGCGCGCGGTTACATTTGAAAGGTAGCGACGGCAGGCTTTGCCAATGAAAAACTGAAAATACTGAAGTCTGGAATCCATATCGTATGGCTTACTTTTAATGCTCATTCCTCGTAAACTACGAAACAAATACGCTAAAACAATAATTTAAGATACCGGTACGTGGAAAAAAAAATATAAATTTTTCAAGCCTAAGTTAGTGACAATTCATAGAAATCAAAAGAAGTTATAGACATCGGGCCATCGGCTATCTTTCGTGCGGTTTAAAATACAATCAACGGCGGAGAGCTACCCAGAGATCCTATGGTCTGTCTACGAGAAAGGAAAATGACTATAACTTTTCTTTATCGCCATGAATTTCCACTTATTTGGAATCAAAAATATTATAAATTTGTTTTCCATCTTTTAGTCCATTGGTTGAGTGATATTATTCCGTAATGCATGGGGGATGAGCGTTTGAAGTGAACGAATGATGCAGATTTAACAGTAAGCGAAGGCTGCGCTACGTAGAAAAAGGTAATCGCGCGCAGGGGGTTTAATAATGCAGACAGGTGGACGGAACCTGAAGGTGTATTCTGTAAGCGGTCGGAACGCGATTAAAAGCGAAGTATGATAAATGCACGTAACGCCTCAGGGGTGTAGCGTGGCGGGCCGTGGTAGAGCCCAGTGCCAACTATGAATCTGTATTTTCCGCTCTGTTTTTAAGCGGGAAATTAATCACTGGGTTTGTACATGAGCAGCAATTTTGACGGAAGTAGAAAAAACGCCACGGAAGTAAAGTATAAATAGGCCTTAAGTACATGTACGATACCTTGCCACATCTAAAGCAAATACTGAAGTACTTCAAACCAGTAGTGGTTAACACGGAACCGACTGTTGAGTTATATACTCGTAGAATGCATACTAACGCTTTTTTTTACCACTATTTTCCTGGGAATCTCACAGCTAAGCGGCATCGCCAACCGAAACACTATGTCAGCATACCGTTAACAATAGTGTGAACCGTCGGTAGACGGTCTTGTTGCTAATCAAATCACAAAGGCAAGTAATTTTTCGCTGCTCCAGCAACGTTCATTCACGTCGTAATCATGAAATTTGAACCACTGCTAAAAATCCTTTAATCGCATATTTACTTGGATTATGATTGACACCGGTGACGGCAGATCCATCAATCTTCCTTAATGAAACCGACGAGCAATGACGTCAAATGCCTGTGTAGCGCTGCTGATAATATTGCTGTACTTCTACGTAGAATTTTGTGCTAGAATGAGTGCTCACTAATCAGTTGCCTTGGGATGAATTTAGCTACTTTTAATAATTCTGATTTTATGTTATTTTGATGATAAAAGGTGGAAAAGGTGACTCAGTCCTCGTTCGTTTAGTAATATTCTGATAAGAAATATAATTATCATCATAATTATGAGCCCCCTGTATAAGGGATTAGGGTAGTCTCGGGGCATACCACTACACTTGGCGCTCCTGGCAAGTATGAATTCTATCGCCTTTCGGAAAGAACAGTCAGTTAGTCTTTTCTGGTATTTCCTGGATGGAAGCGACTGATCGTCCTCGTACTCATAGTGGACTTCTCAGAGTAACTCCTGTGAAGAAAGTCCGGAAACCCAGAGTTCCTAAAACAGGAACCGTGAAGAAGCTCAGTATACCAGTGACTGTGACTACGAGTGCAGCCTCAGCTCCTGTGCCTGTGTTTTCACCTCCAGACCCTATTCAGCCATTTGTGAATATCTTCACCAGAAGCAGTAAGATGTTCCGCAGCCCGCCAAAGAAAGCTGTGACTCCTGTTCAGGAAGAAATTGAAACGTTGCCCGACGAACCTCTTGCCCCTACAGATCCTACTGAGACAGCAGAGGAACGAAATACTCGTATCGATTCAGATGTGGATTCTCTCTTTCAGAAGAAACAAGCAGCGGATCCTAGTATTATTTCCGATGGACTTTATGATACGGAAGATGAAGTGGATGGCAATGAATTACAGAATACGGGATTCCTGGAATCGGACGTAGGATTTGGGGAGAAGCCCTATCAGATGTTTTCGGCGGCGAAGAACCGGATTGGAAATTTTTCATTTCCGAATTCCATTCCATTTGGAATTGGATCTCCCATCCGATCGCTTCCGGTAGTGCATCAGTTCGTGTTAAACAGCTTGACATTGCCGGCCTCTCTTCAGGCGCCAGTCAGTTCGAGTGGAATTGGAACTTCCACAGCGGTGACATCATCTCCATTACGGACGATTGTGACTTCCAGTTTCGGAAACCCTGCGACGGTCTCAGCAGTTTCTCTGCCTACTGTTACCACAACTTACAGCACATCCATTCCTTCATCCGGATCAGTTTCCTCGACGCATACGGTGAGTGCACGGATGCATTCCATTTCCAGTACCGTTCCCATTTCTGTACAGAATGCCAGTGCACCAGTTCAGCCTGCTGACGTGTCGGATAGTGTCGCGGATGCATTGAAAGATGTGTTGACATCCTTTGAAAGGAACATCCTTGATAATATGAATACGATGAATAACTCCTTGAAACAGGATATTTTGGTGATGGAAAAGAAGAATGACGATCGGTGGAAACATCATCAACAGGATGTTAACTCCGCTTTTGGCCTGGTGACGCAGCAGCTGTTGAAGCATGAATCGTCATTCACTTCTAAAATGCAAGAAATGGATGAATGGAAGGCGACGATGAAAGCGCAAGTAGATTCCTTAGCACAGGATTTCGATAAAATGAAGCGGCAGAAATCAACCGTTCCAATGGAAAAGGCGCATCAAATCATGCCGCGCGCGCGTACAGAGGATATTCGTGGCCGATCAGTGATGCATACTCCTTCAAAGGAATCAGTTACCTCTGACTCATCTGTGGAGTTTATTGAGGAACGCGGCCCGGCGATGCGGATGAAAACTCCTCACTTTGCAGGACGAAAGGATGAAAGGATTGAAAGCTTCCTAGGAAAATTTGAAGCTGTGTCCAAACTGAATCAGTGGGGCAGCCAGATGAAGACGGTGCAGCTCAGCTATGCCTTGCAAGGCGCTGAAGAGAAGTTTCACGGCCAGCTAATGGCTCGATATGATACGGCATCCTGGACATTTAAGGATTGGAAAGATAGACTCCTACAGCGTTTTGGTGCTGAAGGAAGAGAATTCTCCGCAGAACAGCAGTTATTTTCCGCCGTGTATGACGGGTTGATGGATGCTGATGCGTTTATTGTACAGATGACGGATCTGATGGATGATGTGGATCCCGAAATGAGTCCATGCCGACAAGTACAGTTTTTGGTTAATTCTTTTAGAAATTTTCCGGTAATGCAGAATTTTATCATTGCACGAAATCCTAAGTCAATAGGAGATTTAACGTCGGTTTGGCATGCCTTGAAACCTATGCAAGGTCAAAATGGCATGCCGGCGGTTTCGAAAGTACCGTATTATCAGACTCCTTATGCAGGACGTGGTCGTGGTTTTGGTCGTTACAGTGGTTATGGTAGCAGCCGCTGGGGCGGATATCAGAATTCTTGACCACGGATGCAGTCGTCAGCGGATGTGGCACCCTCCAGCAGTGCCCTGGAATCGCCACCGAAGCAGTCCTATGCCGATGCGGCAGTCGCGCCGGTTCCCGGTGGTGGCATGAATTTCCAGCCTGGAATGCCGATGGAATTTCGCCCGCGACCGCAAATGCAGAATCCGCCATCACGTCGATTTGTCCCGCAGTGCTATTTCTGTGCAGAAAACGGGCATATCAGCAGTGAATGCAATTGGCCGTCGGTGCCGCAGTCTGAATGGCCCGACAACGTTCGTACCGGGAATCAGATGGTGGCAGAGCGCCGGCAAAAGTTCTTGGAAGAAAGACGTGCAGCGTCGGCGGCGGGTAATCGTCCGTCGTTTAATCCGGCAAAAAACGCCTAGGTGCAGCTCAGGGAGGTGAGTCTGTGCCGCGTGTGAGAAAACCTCCTGATAAACTGTATATGAGTACAGTTTTCGTTAATTCTTTGTATAAGAAGCAGCTTTCTAAAATGGAATATCCGGTTTATGGTCCCGATACGGTAGTTTACATTAAATTAAACAACCGTGAAATTAATTGTTTATTTGACACGGCTGCAGCAGTTTCTATGATTTCAAAAGAATTTTGTGATACTGATAAAATCCTCTATCAGGACATTGACCCGAACTATCAGCATTGGAATGTAGTCGGTATTAATGGTGTACCGTTATCAAAGTTTCGTTTTTGCTTGAAAGTGAATTTAGAGATCTGTGATATTGTGTTTCAGCACAGTCTCTTTGTGAGAGAAGAAAGTACGCCTTATCCTTAAATTTTAGGAACTGATTTCTTTAAAAAAATTAAGACAATTACTTTCGATTATCGGGATTATTTTCCTCAGATTAAGGTACAAGTGCCTACTTTAATTAATTCTGTTGAAGAAGAGGAGAAAATACAGTGTGAGAGGTTGACCCGTGAATTGATGAGTTTGGGTACTACCTCTGTAAATGACTTGGGATTGAATAATACGCTTGATACACGCGTAATGGATGAAATCTCAGTAGAAATGCGTAAACGCCTGGCAAGGCTAAAGGGTGATGACGCGTGTGTGAGTGTGAGTTCCAGGGTGAAGAAGAGGACCTCGGATCAGCCTCAGTCGGATGTTCCTGTTGTGCGACCAGTGCCTGCGGGCGTGGCCAAACAAGTGGGGAATGCGCAGCCTCGTTCTGGATTGGAGAAGTCACCGAAACCGCGGACACCTGAAATAGTGCAGCCGAAGCGCCGAGTGGGACGTGTTGCGGAGAGTGGATTGGCCCGGCCGGTAACAGTCTATTCTGCCCGACATGTTCAGGTTCCTCCTAGGACTCACGTAGTCGTTGAGTTAAGCCCTGGGCGTAAGAGAATTAAAGATGGAGAATATATGTTTTTGCCAAACCGGGCCAAGAATGTAGGCATAGGACTACAGCTGGCTAATGCGGTGGTTAAGTGTGAAAATGATACGATTTTATGCTGGTTAGAAAATCGTACAAATAATAATATTATAATTAAGAAAGGTGTTATGATCGGTAGTTTAGAGAATTTTAAAGAAAATCCTGATGTTCCTACGTCGATTGGCAGTGCAGGTCAGGAGAGTGTCTACATGACAGATGAGGAATTTGAGAAAAGTTTCGCTGAATGTAAATTAAATCATGATTTAAATGAGGAACAGCGTCAGCGAGTTAAACAGTTAATGCGTAAGCATGTCCGATTATTTCCTACAGAAAAGGAGCCGTTCGGTAATGTTCCTAACGAATTTCATTATATTAGGACGGGCGATGCAAAGCCGTTTAAGCAGACGCCTCGCCGGTATGATTAGACCGGTAGAAAGTTGATCATGGATGAAGTGGATAAGATTGTAAGCTCAGGGCGTTATCCAGCGATCCAAATCCGACTGGTCTAACAGAATTCTTTTGGTAGAAAAGAAAGACGCTGGCGTACGATTTTGTTTAGATTTCCGGCAGCTAAATAAATTAACTGTAAAAGATTCTTATTCTATGCCGATAATCGAGGATATCCTGCATGCTATAGGAGATTGTGACTGGTGTACGACTTTAGATTGTAAGTCGGGATATTGGGCGATTCCTATTGCGCCTGAGGATCAATCTAAAACCGCATTCTGTACCCAGGATGGATTGTTTGAATTTAAACGAATGCCGTTTGGCGTGTGCAACGGCCCCGCTACGTTCCAGCGTGTAATGGACGGTATTCTATCAGAAGTAAAGTGGACAATGGCGTTAGTCTATTTGGACGATATTATTATTTTTGCTGAAACTTTCGATCAGTGGTGTGAACGGATGGATATCGTTCTTTCTTCAATAGAAAATGCCGGTTTGAAAATTCAGCCGAAGAAATGTGTGCTGGCTGTGCGTGAGGTTAAATTCCTAGGACATATTATTAAAAAGTCAGGAATTAAGGCTGACCCACAGTATTTGGATGCCATACGGAAGTTTCCGATTCTTGACAGTGTGACTGCGTTGCAGAGTTTCTTAGGGCTGGCGAATTTTTATAAGAAATTTTGTGCTAATATGAGCTACATGACATACGTATTAACTCCTTTGGTAAGGAAAAATGTGAATTTCAAAAAGGAATGTAGTGATGTACATTTACAGGCGTTTCATGATTTGAAAGACACGCTCAGTAATGCGCCCGTTTTAACTCGTTTTGATTCTACGAAAGAAATTGTAGTGGAATGTGATGCGTGTGGTATTAGTGTTGCCGGTATCCTGAGTCAGGAAGGTAAAACTGTGGCTACTTGTAACCTGTCATTGACCGCCGCCGAGCGTAATTATCCGGCGACGCATCTTGAATTATTAGCGATAATATTTTCTTACGAGAAATTCCGTCATTATTTGGAATTTAATCATTTCATTGTAAAGACTGATCATCGAGCGCTTCTAGAGATAGAAAAGTAGAGCGGAAATAATCCACGACTTGCGCGTTGGGCATTATTATTGTCGACTTTGGATAAAGAAGTACAGTACCGCCCGGGGAAATTCCACCATAATGCGGACTGTTTAAGTCGTTTTCCTGTTGGCCCGGCCGAACCGGGTGTCGCCGATAAGCTGCCGGTTTATGCGCACGCCGCAGAAGTGCAGGATGAAGATGAAAATGCCGATGAAGATCCTTGGAAGGACGACAGGTGGTTGAGTGATGAACAGCTATTGGTTCCTTCTGTTAAGAAAATTGTGGATGCGATGGATAATCCTGCCGATCCTCAGTTCGCCTCGTGTCACCGTCAGTATGTATTACGTAATTCAGTCCTATATTACAAAAGGAGAGAGAACGGTGTAGACGTAAAGTGTCTGATGGTTCCCAAACATTTACGAATGATGTAATGTGGACTGTACATGATATTCCTCTAGCAGGACATCAGGCCGTGGATAAGACAGTAAGTCTGATTAAGCGTCGTTTCTGGTTTAACGATATGGTAAATTACGTTAAACGGTACATAAAGACTTGTCCACAATGCCAGATGAGGCAAGTTACTCGTAAACCTATGTCAGGTTATTTGCAGCATCTTCCTGTAGAAGGACCAATGTGTACTGCGTACATGGATTTATTAGGTCCGTTTCCTGCATCAGGATTGGGTAATAAATACGCTTGTGTTGTAGCGGACGCCTTGACTAAGTACATTTGGGCTAGACCACTAAAAGATCAATCAGTTGCCGAAGTAGCAAAATTCTACGTACAGAACGTAATATTAATGTTTGGCACTCCTAAGCGGTTACTAACTGACCAAGGAAAGCATTTTAGAAATAATTTGCTGTATGAAATTAATAAGTTAATCGGTGTTAGTCAGCTTCGTACAACAGCGTATCATCCACAGGGAAATTCTCAAGTAGAAAGACAAATGTCTCCTTTGGCTGAAGGAATGGCAATGTATGCGTCAGACGACCAACGTGACTGGGATCAGTACCTTCCGTTTATCGCGTCCGCGCATAATTCTACCGAACATGACGTCACAAAGACGTCGCCGTTTAGGTTGATGTTTGGTCGTGAAAATGAACTTCCAGTAGATACGATTATTAAATCTGTGGAAGACAGTACGTATCTAAATTTATCTGATTATTCTCAGAAATTAACGGATTTCTTCCAAGAAGCGTACGAAGTCGCGCGAGCACGTATTGGCATACGCCAGGATAAGAATGCCGCCGCGACCGATATAAATCGCCGAAAAGTTCAGTTTTCTATAGTCGACCTTGTAAAGGTGCGAGAATTTGCACATGTTGTCAAGAAGGCCGATAAATTGCGACAGAAGTATTCTGGACCGTATAAGGTCATAGAACGTGTTAATGAAAATGTCTATAAATTACAGCTTTTGCATTCTTTCCGTCAGAAAATCGATAATTATAACGTCAGTCGTATTGAGCCTTTTTATCCAAGGCCATCGGGTGAAGTTCCTGAAATTATTAGGAATGATAATTCTGAATTAGAAAATGTACAGCCGGATTCGCAGCCGATTGCTGATGTGCCAAAAGATACGTAGCCGGTCGAAGCCACTGACCTTGACATTCCAGTCCTAGATCTGCCGTCAGATAATCTCGCCTTGCCAGCGAAGCCAGCGTCGAAGCGTCAGTACCGGAAAAAGACTGTCGACATCGTGCCATTTACCAGCCGTTCAGGTCGCATCACCAAAGCGCCAAAGCGATATCAGTGTGTCGTTCGAATTAATTTATGAGCATTCATCGTATATTCCTATTAAGGATTTATTTCGTGAATTATGCTTCTTAATGTTTTCTTGGATGAGTGGATTATCGCTGGATATCGTTTAATTGATATAGTTTCCCGATATTTATGGGATAATGACCGTCGATTTCTTTATTTAGAAGCAATACGTTTTATTCGCTCGGTGATTTTCTTCTATGCAGAATGTACAGGTAATGTTGGCCCTTTCAGAAATGTGCCCGTTGAATATTTTCTAAATTCTAGAAATGAAATCATTGAATTTTATCTTTGTTACGGTCTACAGGGATTACGGTCTCCTCAAAATCTTACTGTCATATTTATTGGCAGATAAAATAATAGATAAATAATAAATAACGGGCCAGATTCTCTTTAATTCAAGACCGAAATCCAAGAAAGCCAGAGAATGACCTCATCACATTAGCAGTCGCTGCGCTTAAATAGCCTAAACTGGGCAATCTGTACTACCCGTACGTCTCATAAAACTGCACTCGTACATACGTAAGCGGCACCGCCGCTACACTACTCCTTTCTCCGGGATAGAAAAAAACAGGAATGCCATTAACACAAAAAAATAACAACCATGGGCGGAAGACCCCTTTCTCCGTAAAATAATAATAAAAGATCTTACTCCAAATTCTACACAACATCGTCATTCTCCAGAAAAAAAAACACCGTCACAAATAAATTCTCACATAGAACAACAACCATTAAGTCATCACAACATACATCATCATTATAACACCATCTGCTTCCTTAATAATCATAATTAAATTCATCTGCTTCCTCCTCGGTAACACCCGGGATTCCAGCAGGAACTCATCACATCGCCAACAACACCGCCTCACCAGTGAACAAAGGCTTCATTCCCTTCCCAAGCAGACAGCGCATGATCCATAGCATGCGGCGAATCATCAGGTCATCATCCGTACGACAATCCATTCAGCGACGCCATATTCCTTTCAGAACACAGTGCTTCACGTGGCTTCCAAAGCTGGCTTCCATCCAGGCACGTGTTAGGCACGGCATAGAACAATGCGCCTTGTCGCGAGGCAGATAAGATCGTATCCGGGTTGGAAATCCCCATACAGCCAGACAGGCCAACGCACTCACACAGACATTAAGCATCGACTACTTCCTTGTCACTTGTCAGGAAATTAATTATTTAGGAATGCAGAATATTCCTTTCTTAATTAAATCGAATTCGCATTTTCATTATTTCCTAATCAGGATACTTCCACAATAAAAGTAAATAATAACAATAAAAATGCCAAGATTAAAAGGACAATATCACCTTTTAATTCCTACTGAAGGAAAGGCTTCATGACAAAATCTCAATCTTCGGAAAATCCAACATTTAAAGGGCAACATAACCCTCTAATTCCTACTGTAGGAAAACCAGTTTTTAACAAAATAAAACATTTTCAAAACAATCCTGAATGAAGGAACCAATAGTCGCAGCAAATTTCAGACTATTAGAAAATTGAATTTCCTTTCAGTAAACAACATTAAAATAAAATCCTTGAAGCCCGTAGTCCGGATTTCTGGTGTTTCTAGTCTCCTAGTTCTAATAGAATGCAAGGAAATAGGGACCCGTTTATCCAACTACGCTACAATTGGCGCTCCTGGGTGGATGCAGGCGTCTCATACAACTGCACTCGTACATACGTAAGCGGCACCGCCGCTACACTAATTGTAGCGTAGTTGGATAAACGGGTCCCTATGTTCTTACATTCTATTAGAACTAGGAGGATAGAAACACCAGAATCCCAAACTACGGGCCAGATTCTCTTTAATTCAAGACCGAAATCTCAGAAAGCCAGAGAATGACTCCATCACATTAGTCGTCGCTGCGCTTAAATAGCCTAAACTGGGCAATCTGTACTACCCGTACGTCTCATACAACTGCACTCGTACAAAAGTAAGCGGCACCGCCGCTACACCTGTATTACGGATTCATGTATCAGACATTGCCGTTCAGTTCGATTGTAAAAAACTGTTTTATCATATGACTCTTACTGTTGCAGTATCTGTGCTCAACGTATTCTCAACGTTTGCAGTTCTGAGAATCTTTTGGACAGCGCATAGCTATCGGAATCATTCTGGACGCAAACCATATTTCTTGCCCATATCATACAGATATGGAGGACTCGCACGGTATTCCTTTTGGAGAGAATGGAGATCTCGGAAGTAAGTCCGAATACTATGTTTTTTTCTAGTAGGTACGTACTCGTAGCGAGTGCTTTAAAAGGTCATAGTTTCCCCAGGAACGATTTCGAAGTCGTTTTTTTTAAAATTCGTTTTGTTTTGAGAAACGTAATTTTCACTTTTTGCTGTAACACGAGGGCTAGAAGATATTTCCGCAAATAACGCAACGCCTTAGGCTTCTCTCGAATCTTGTAATCACCTATCCTCCTTGCAGCACGTTATGACGATTCACCGCCAACATATTCGGAAACCATTGCCCGTGGTCTGAGTCTCATGGCTAAATCAGTCAGTACAGACAACCGCCCTAAAAGTGACGCTGTTGGCGGTGAACACTATTCTGAAAGCGTCATCGTTGTCAAACATCCTCAGCATCCTCCACGAAGGTATCCGGAAATAGAGGGCCCGCGATTCGTTCCCAAAGTAGTCGATAAGGACAAGAGCCATAAAAACGTCTGCAATGGCGGTGAAAACTATTCCTTCAACACCGTGCATCTTCACGATCCTCCCCGCAGAAATTCGGCAGTCAGTGAATCGTTTTGTGAAGCCGTCTATAAGGATCAAAATCCGAAAGTGACGGGCAGTGGCGGCCTTGGTAAAGAGCACTACTCCGAAAGCTTCACCAGGACGAAGCTTGCCCAGCGTTGCCATCGTTGCCGCCGTTACGGGTGCACCTGTGGTAACAGTTGTCGTTTCTACGGCGACAGCAGCGGCTACTCCAACGATGCAGGCTACGGTAGCCATTGGGGCGTTGTAGGTGGCGACAGTGGAGGAGGCGGTGGATGGGACATGGGTTGCGCCGTTGACAGTGGATGTAATGCGAGTGGAGGTGGTGATAGTGGCGGAGGATGTGACAGCGGTGGATGCGATAGCGGTGGCGGTGACAGTGGTGGCGGAGGCGGAGGCTAGCAACTGATTGATCGACTGTTTATTGTGTAGCCAAGCCCGTAAACACAATTGTCACAAAACATTGCCAGGCATTGTTTTTTCGGTACAAAACTTCTTCAACTACGCTGCGCATAGTTCTCGTAGAATTAGAAGCCATATTACTTTTACAGCACTGTTTCAGTAATTATTACGGACGGAGTCCAAATCTGCATCATGTACAGACAGTATTTCATTGTAGATTTTATTGGCTTGTGCTCATATTGAAATTTAGAAATAGAGAGGTTGTCAAAATTTCCAGTTGCGCGGCAATAAAACGAGCCCATGTCGATTCAGTCGGCGGTCATTTTAGTGTCTTTCCTGGCTGGGTAATAGATCCGGAGTTGACTTTTCAGTTCAACGAGAATCAGGCCCGTACTAGTATTATGATTTCTGGTGCATCAGCTCTGCTAGCCCGAACAGAAGGAGGAGATGCAATCCTTTTTCTCCTACTACCCCATACAATATCTGCATTCAGCAGTTGCCCAACCGGTTGTTGTGGCGCCGGTAATATTGCATCGATACGTGAAAACAGGCGGAAAGAAATTCATTTCATCAGCGTAAGATCGACAATCCATAGGAGTCTGGAGCAAGACGGTAGCCTCGGTGCGCGGAGCGGCTCCGTCTGGGAGTCGGCCGTTCTCATACCCGACCACTTTTATAACCCTTGGTTGTGATGAGCGTTGAATGTACTCAAAGGTGGCAGATGGCTGCAGCGTACGATGTCACCGCCTGCGGCAGACGAAGGGTCACGTGACTCTTACATGATGTCAATTGATTGCGGGATCATATCACGTGGTCAGTATCTATTTTTCATGGATCCTCATACAGTCGTTATCATTAAGCCAGAGAATTTCTTATGGGCACTCCACAAGCCAGCAGCAAAGAGCCAAGGATCAAACAGAGCCTGCATAGAATAAAGCAACGACGCCACCACGAAGAACCACTCGGGCATCCACAGTCCGGTGAACTTGACCACGGCGAAGTACACCACCGCCGGTGTCCAGCACACCGTCACACTGATGGCCGTCAGCGATAGCACCAGGAACGGCCGCACTGCTTCCTCTAGCGAAGTACCGGAGCTGGGTTTTCGGCGACCGTTCTCGCGGATCTTCCGTCTCCGACGCACCCGGTTCACGTACAAATACGCGTACACAACAAGGATCAATACCAGCGGGACGATATGCAGTAGAGCGTTTTCAAATTTTGCCCACAACACTTGCGCCATATAATTAATATGGCATCCTGATGCCTTCACTTCAATAGCGTAATACAGAATGTCCATGAGGCATCCCGGAGCTCAATCACGTGCACCACCACCACCGCGGATAAGCACATGAGCAGTGCCACCTTTCTAGTATGATTAATTCTATAAGCCATCGGGTAATGCACCGCCCACAGTCGGCTGATGGAGATGCAGATATGGATGCAAATCTGCGACGCGGATCCGATGGCGCTGGTGTAGTTGTGAATATTGCACACGGCACGACCCATCCACCAACCGCCGTACAGCTGATTCATCAGTTCCGTTAACGGGACCACGCTGAGAAAGAACAAGTTGATGATGAGTAGTATGATGAGATAGACAGTAAATGGCGTAATTCTCGAGGGTATGCGGATGAATTCAATAAGAACGATGATGTTGGAGAGAAGCGAGAAACCCAGAACAACGGCTTGGCCGGTAAGGAGCGGCGTCCAGTGAGGCTGCACTGGAGTACTCTCAGCGTGTGCTGTCGCGTTACTGGTATTCATATTGCACTCGGGCGAGACGAAAAATGGAGAGGCAATCTCGGGCGACTACGGATTGGTTAGTGCCAAAGAAACGGACCAACCAAATTAAATTTTCTCTGACAAACTGACAGTGAAACTCATATTTTGCACTGACTTACAACGTGTGTACAAGGTTCTGGTTCCTTGGGTAAAATAATTCTTAAATAGCGCGAAAGAAGGCCAGGCTTTCCGCCGGAAGCGAACAAGGGGGATGCCGTGACGACAAAATGGAGGAATTCGCTTGCGCATGGACGACGGTTGCATCTTCATTAGGCGTTACGAGAAGTCCGCGCAGACTAGCTGGCTGCTATCGTGCAAAGCTGCTTAACAAAATGTGCTTTACCGTACCGTCAGCGTGCGCTAAAACGAAATGTCCCGAGGACACCGCAGAGTCGGGTTACGCTAATCAAATTAGCAGCGCATTTTGTGCAATGCGCATGCAGTCAACGGAACATGATTGACGGCATCCGGCTGTTGTTTTGCCACAGTGACCTTTTAACCGATTCTGGACAACCAGAGTCAAGAGGTGCGGCTGTTAGCGCGAATACAACCATTATTGTAGCGGCTCGACCGAGTCATACCATATGAGAGTTTGTGTACGGAAAAACTGCACCCGGGAAGCATGTGCCTGCATTCGTCTGTGCAACCAATACACACTCTGGGTACCGTTTCCCCATTCTCAAACTCTAGAGTATGGTATAACTTGGTGGAGCCGCTACACTACGCTGTAGGCCATTTCATCTGGATGATTAACGGTTTACTTCAAGCGTACCGCAGAGATTAACAGAATTACCTTGTAAATCAGAATGAAAGACTTTAGTAGCCATTTCTGATTTTTTGAATTGTTTAACAACAAAGAGGCAGCATCACGTAACTTGAAAATCTAATAAATGCAACTAGACAAGCGGCAGCATTTCATAAAAAAGGAAAGCTACATAAACGAGGTGATCAATCGTCGACATTTGACAATAATCTTGTCAGGAAAACGTTCTTCGCTGCGTTTAGAACGCTCACTTAGAACGTTTAAATAGAACATTCCCAAATCATCCAAAACGCGACTGTAGCTCAAATTGATTCTTTTGTTTCATTAATGGCGAAACGTAATGCTATGTATCTGGTCACTGCCCTTAAGGTGTTATCAATGTTATCAGTGTTCCTCACCACCAGTTCGTTATCATGTATGCATGAAAGTATGCGTTATCAATGTTCCTCACCAGTCACCACCAATTCGCCGCATGTGCTCTTGTAATTTCGCTGAACTCGTTAGGTCTACGACGGTACAAAATTCCCGCGTACATGTACAAGTACGTCTATTGTGCACGAATGTGTATGTTACATGTACACGAACCTGATATCACTTAGTCACTCATAAGCGATTACTTTTCCTAACAGCAGCCTCAGATAGTTGCGCAAATTAACCAAAATGGTTATGACTGAAAGTGCAAAATTAAATTTAAATCGATTCTGCGTGCACGGGAAGACACGGGCGTCTACTGTACACTGGTTTCGGATGCGTGCATGGCTAAATCCTTTCTTTTCAAATCGCTTGAAATTTAGAAACATTGTTCTTAAAGCCGACTTTTGGGTTAGAATATGAGAATATGACGGCAAAAACGAAGCGTCCAATTAGTCATCTAATGGAATTAGATGAAAGACAAAAGGGATGGATGTGGCCAGGGAACGGTGCCAAAAACAGAGGGGCGTTAATACAGTGGCTCTATACTATCGTAAGGGTCACCGCATTTATTTACGGGTTTGACCAAGGAACGGTAACATTCGAACGGGAAATAATGCGACGTAATCTGAATGCCACAGTCGAGGCCATGAAAAACACCCCATTCCCTTGCGTCACTGGCAGGGTTGACAAAACAATATACACCTGTGGTACGAAACATATACACCTGTGGCACGTTACAAACAATATACACTATATATATACACCTGTGGCCTTACAAACAATGCCCCGTAAGCCGGAAGGCAAAAAGTTTTGTAACGATACCTTGATTATGCCAATGTGGGATACCACAAATATGTCTCAAAAACGGCTAAAAATCCATTATTGTTGAACAACTTGTGAAAAAACGCTACGAGTGCGAAAGTATAACTAAGAAAGTAAAATTCAAAAATATTCCAATCTAAGTATACAAATCCATGGACACAGCCGTAGTGTTAAAACTTAAAATAATTGTGCACTGTGCACGCTACTTCTAAGGTGATCACTAATGGTGTAACAGAAAAAATTGAGGGCTGGCGGAATTGTATGAAATTTAAAATGTATACTTCTAGTAAAAATAACCGGTCGTTGGGAAATGCCGAATACCAACCGGCGATAACACTGATACGATTTTAAAACCATCACATTTCACCTAGAGCCGTAATTATAATGAATGAATATTTACACAAAAATAAACGATCTAGCGATAAACAGTATGCATGAATATTGATTTTGCCGAATAACGTGTGAATTTCAGCATACTGAGATCACATTCCGTGGTACAATGCCGATCTGGCCGTTTACGGGCAGCGGTTTCTGACATGCGGTGCATGCATGGGTAGTATTAGTGACAAGTTTTCCAGAACGGACCAGAAGTGCAGTTCACATTTATACGGTTGGGAATTAACCGTAAAGTTTTCAGATTGGATGACGACAACCGGTATCGGGTTTACTGAGCTGTGTCAGCCCTTTTTACAGAATTTACTTTTCAATTTGATTAAAAAAACTAGACACGCTGTGCTATGCATGTAAGTGCCGTGATGGCATTGCACAGCTTTTAGAACGAACTAACCACACTCCCGCACTTCCGTCAAACGATCCGAAGATCAACAGTCACACAACTGGGAAGCGTTTTTACGAATAGTATAGTATTTCATTCAGTTGTGCTTGGTAAGTAAGGAATAAAGTTACTTGTACTATTCAGTTGCGTTTTCCGCGTCACCGAGGGATGTGTGGAAAGAAATAAAGCCACAATGGTTACGCCGGGATCCATGCATGTCGAATTACTGTACCATTCCCATATTGGCATTGTTGATGTGCCCATTTACCAAAACAACCTGTCAAAAGCTGCTCCTACAAAGTGGCGGAAACGAAGCAGTCCAAACAAATATGTGGCTACACTTTAATTTTGACTTTGGTGTTCGTCATCACCTGACAGATTCTGCTAAACCGGGTTTCAACCGTCTGCTTAGCTGTTAAATTTAACGTATTCATTTCGGTTCACTGGAACTATATATGACGTTTAAATATGGCATGATCTTTCCCTTTCTATACTGAGATTAGGAAACTTTGACACTGTTGAACAGGATTAGCGTTGTCCTGCTAAAATTATCAGCGCTACTTGATCCGACAGCACTGCCATTATCCACGTTTTACACTGATTCTTGTTAGTAATTAACCGCTTATCGGTCGCTGATATGTATGTTACAATGGCCAACTGTACGATTTCGGCCCCCCACAAAAAGCCCAAATGTTCTCGCCATCACACCGAATACAACGCAAAGAAGTGTTAGTGTTGTATCGGTGTGATGGCGGGAATATTTGTTATTTTCGACATCGCTCAATTTGTCATTCTTGGATATAGGCTTGAGCCTGCGCGTTTGAAAGCAGACCCCGTTGTAGACTTTCCGGAAGCGGCAGAAACCGCGTTTTATTTTATTTGCGACACTCTAAGTCGCTCTCTGACGAGCTTCTTACTGCACGGCGATGACATGGGAAATCTTATCCGAGATTTCAGCTTTCTGCGGGCAGTCAAAAAGTCCCACGTCGCTATCGTCTGTTGAATCTCGGATGTGCGATAATGGCTATGCTGACGTACACCGCGTACTGTGCGAATACGTTACAAGCACAGATCGCAAAGAGTGATGACGAATTTAGGACAATCACCGTCTTTGTGTTTCACGCGAAACCGGTCATAAGTGCCTATGCTACCTTCGCGTACTGTATTTGTCCTGTACATGATCTCTGGGATTGGCCTCTATGGTTATTTTTTGTCGCTTTTTCTGCTTGTTCTTGAAGAGCACCTCAGTTTTATGGTCAGACTAAAAGCCGATGTCGACAACGACGTACAGGCATCCAATTGGTTTTCCGGCAAGAATGTTACCAGCTAACCAGCTGGATGCCTGTACGTCGTTGTAACGGTACAGTATACCGTTAATAAAAACGAAGAAGGAGGAGAGAGGCAAATATTCGCTGGCCTTTGCAAATGGTTCCGCTTCACGGTCCTCCTGCGAATGGGTGCAACTTTTCTCATCCTTAATAGTCAGGTTTCGAATTTCTTCTTCACTAACTAATTTCAAAATCACCCGGGACCGGGTGACGTTTTTCTTTGTGCCAATTTCTTTTGTATTGATTTTTGGCGGGCCTGTTGTTTTGGCCTTGCAGATCCGACCAGGTAGGTACTGCTAAAAAACACTGTACTCTGTCTCTACGTCCAAATTTAGTGTCATGCGACTTTGGTCTTATATAAACTTTTACGTGACCACTCCATGCACATCCTTTCGCACTACCTTTTACTCCGAGCACAACCTTTTTCGGTGTGTGGGGACGCTTTTAAAGCCGTTGACTGTGTTTACCGGCAGGTGCGTAGCTGATTTATTTCTATATAACTTACTTTCCGGCACAGCTATTTGTTTTGAAATGGTTTTGAAAGAAATTTCGTATAATAATGTACTAATTCCAATCAGTATAGCTTAAGATGCCATCCTCCGCAACCCATCCAGGAACTTAGGCACACATGCGCTATTGCTACACTTCTGTACAGTAATCTTTTTATACTTTGCAAAATTATGGCCCGGAAAATACAAAATGTAAACCGCGAAGTGTTCTTTCACTTCTGCTCATGAACGTGAAAAGCGAAAAAAACAAAAAAGGTTGTGCGCGAATTGAAAGGTCGTGCAACGTTGTGAACCAAGTGAAAGAAAGGTTGTGAGCAGTAGTGGTCATGTTGTATAATACAAATACACCGGTGATTTGTGATTTTTACGAT